TAAATTCGGTGTATGTTCTACTCGTGTCGTGCCCCGACGTGCCCTTACAAGGGAGGTCTTTCAGGGCAAGGTGCGCTTTTTCAAAACGGTTTTGTGCATATTGTAGGGACGCATGTAGGGAACGCAAATGTTTCATTTTCGCTGAACGGTTATAGCAGTACCAAAAAAGAAGCATAAGGTACTGTTAAGGGTTCGATCCCCCGTGGCGACTAAATTTTGCATTTGGGTGCCAAATCGCGCTAAATATCAAAATCAGATGTCAAATTCATCGTCAGGACCATTTTGAAGCCAACAAGTGGCCGCCAACCTTGATTGCAAAATTTAGTCGCCGCGGGGGATTGAACCATCAAGAGTATTATTCACCACTTTTTTGGTACTACTAAAACCGTTCAGCTTGCCCTGAAAGACCTCCCTTGTCAGTTGCCCCATAAAGCGGTAGACCCGCACTATAAGGGCAGCAATGGAGGAAAAGGTGACTCATACACAAGAAAATAGGAATTCGTCGACTGTCAAGGAGCACGGTTAAAAGGATCAAGCATTCAGTAATGATCAATTCTGAAAAAAGCCACTCATTTGGAATTCACTGTCAGAATTTCAATGTGGCCAACTCCTTCCTTATAGTTAGAGTTGGCATATTCAGTGACAAGAGGAGAGCAAGCGATGGGCAAACCGATACCTCATCGTGAATAAAAAACTATTTAATGGAACCGGGAGGGAAAGATTAGGTGCCTACAGGGTTAGATCCAGGATGTGGGTGCGGGTGGGCAGGTGTCACTTCCCCCTTCGTGAAAGTCCGACTCTCGCTGATGTGGTAAAACTAACCATGATAAGGGGCTGATATGCACGAATGTGTTGGAATGCACGCCAGGTTATCACTGCAAAATCGAGTGCACCAACAACATGCCGAAGGATATCTCACTAATGCCCAAATTAATCGAAGCCTACACGCAACAGTGTTGGAATAAGAATGATATCGCCTTTGATTGATCAAGCTTTTTTCGGGATGCGCCGTGCACTCTACTTCCGTTCAGAGTCGTAGTAGCATGTTAATGC